GGCTGGAGATCTCTGCTTCCCAAGAAAGATAACGTTTCCCTCATTTCACTGAGCTCCAGCACTCACTTGATGACTTGTCCCTGTTACTATAAAGTAAAAAGTTACCAGAAGAGTTTTATCACACCATGATACATATTACAGATCAGCAGTAAAGCTAGCATAGCAATAACCCATTTCTACCTAAAACTACATTTGACAAATTTACCACTTATTTTTAAAACACTTTAAGACTCTTTAGTCCATACTGCACAAAAATATGCCATTTATTCTTAATTAGTTGCTTCATTCTTACATTTTCTTCAAATGTTGGTAAACTACCTATGAACGTAGTCCAACAATCATTTCTCTACCCATATCAACAAGAATCATCAGCTCCATCCTAAAAAGCAAGTTTTTCCATTTTGCTCAGCAGGCAGCTTCAGTCTGCAAATAAAGGTAACACCTAAAGTATTTCCTGTCCTTCTGAAAGGTTTAAGCAATTCTACAGAGAAGAAAAGAACTTTAAACATGTCATTTTTTTGTTCATCTTAGAATGCAAAACTTAAGACTTTATAAAAACACAGACCAAAAAAAAAAAAGGCAGTAAGAAGCTGCCTGTTGTAGACAATGTTAAATATCATGTGGATTTAGCAGAATATTTTGCTTATAAAGCTGATAACTTTTTAACAATTTTAAGTACTATTTAAGTGCTCTGTAAGTTTCCCTATTTGCAAAACAGCAACAGAAGAACAAAACCCTAAGAAATTACCAACATGGCAGAGAGCACTATAAGGTACCTATGAAGCAAGTTGGAAGCAATACAAACACTAAAGACCCAAATAACATCTCTGTGCTCTTACAAGTAAACCAAAAGCCAGGTAGCACTTTGTACCTGTCTCTTTGCCACCAGATTAGGAGCAGAAACTTTCCTCTGGCTGCAGCTCAGGGAAGGGATGAGCAAGACCACGTTCCACCTGCTTGGAAGAGTAGATCCTGCAGATGTACGGTACCCCAGGAAGGGACTGCAGCGGAGCCACCACATCCTTCCCTGAGGCAAGCTCCTGAGTTGCTCCCCTCAGAGGGATTTTCTCGCAAGGTCTAATGCCTTCAGTTCTTCCAGCAGCATCTAGTACATCCTCCCGTAAGTATTACCCAGCTTTATGCTGGGTAATCCCACATTAGCATCAGGGTTGCTGTGGAAAATTTATTTACCAAGTAACATAACTCCTAGCATTTTAAAATCAGTTAAAAATGGTGAAAAGGCGATTTCAAGGAAACTACACAGAACTAAGAGATTACACTACAAGCCAGAGCACTTTTATTTTCCTCTTCTGCACACTCTCAAAAGAGCAATCACTGAATAATCATCAATCACACATGGGCTCACCAAAGTCTTTCCTGACTAGGCTAAGAACAGCATGAAAGTAGACTCATGGTAATCTTACTTCATCTCACTGTTACGCTTTTAACATCACCATGACACTGCAAAGCAAGCTACTGCTCTTCCTCTTTTCGAGGGAGCAACTCGACAGTGTTGAGAAATCCAGAGTCGTAGGCCAGCTCTTCACTTTACACTTCCAATTTGATTTCCGTATTGCATTGTTTATATTTGTGTATGTAATTCCACTTCAAAATGATGTTGTGGATACTATGTAACATCTCAGTTTAAAGTCTTGATGACTATTTATTTATTGATAGAAAGAGAAAAGATAAGATTTCTGGCTTCTTACTTCAATGGAAAGAAAAAGGGAATGAAAAATTAACCCCTCAAATACCTGAAGTAGCATTCAGCATCCTCTATAGCTAAATCAAGTGAATCCCTTCCTAAACCCTACCATGGACATCACCCTTGGGCACCACCTGAGCCAGCACCCTGGGTTAGGCAGATGTTTGCTCTTTGCATAGCCAGCCTTGCCAGTGCAGATATTCAATGGAAAACAGAGGCACAGATTATGCAGATTATGCAGTGGAAAACAGAGGCACAGATTTGCTCCAGAATCTCTAAGTGCAGCCTCAGTAAATAGCAGGCTGCTGCTCACTGTCTATCTCTCCATGTTTGTTTTCATGATGGAGTAACAGGAAAACAAATGGCACATGAAATACAACACAAGCCTATTGCCTTCCTGTTGTGGTTCAGAAACAGGGTGTGCTCTTGGTGACTCATCTGTGCTGCAGGTTATCAGAGTGCAGGCCTTGACAGCAACAGCAATTTCACTTCCAAAAACGGCTTCCCAGAAAACTGTGGTTTTCCACATTAATATACATTCTTTCTACCCCAGTCCTGCTATTTCTTTTGATGCCTTCATACACCTGCATTTCCATAGGTGTTTCGTTCACACCAGCCTTCATATTTCCACTACAAATCTGTAAAGTACTGGCCTGACAGGTCTTTGATTTGACCTGCTAAAATACTTAGCTAAAGATTTTCCACATCTTCCCTGCCTGCCTGTAAAAGGCAGAATACAGTTTTGCCCAGACAGTTGTACTCTGCATTCTACACACCCAAAACTACTTGTACGCTTTCTATATTAGACTTTTGTAGGAGTAGGTTAAAAGTAAAACGGCATGAAAACTGTCAGTATTTCTGTAGGACAGTCATTACGAAGGATGAAGAGGTGAGAAGCACAGAATGGTTTGGGTTAGAAGGGACCTCAAAGCTCATCCGGTTCCAACCCCCACTCCCATGGGCAGGGACACCTTCCACTAGACCAAGCTGTTCAAAGCCCCATCCAGCCTGGCCTTGAAGATTGCCAGGGATGGGGCAAACAGGACTTCTCCGAGCAGGCGATACACACACGCGGCAACAAGCACGGTGGCGGGCAAAGGGCTGTGCACGGGGCCAGCGTTTCAGGAAGGCTAAAGCGAAGCAGCGGGGACGCACGCTGCCTGCACCGGCCAAAGAGCAGAGGAAGGCGGCAGAAGATCCGCGGGAGGGCGCTGGAGGGAAGGCCCCACCGGGACGGCGGGGCCGGAACCGCCCCGATCACTGCCCTACCCGGCCTCCCCACCGCGCCCTCACCTGCCGGGGGCCGGGGGCCGCGGTATCTGTGCTCGGCCGCTCTGCTGTCTGCTGCGGGAGAGCGGAGGCACCCACAGCTGCCGCCGGCGGGGCATCGCTGCAGCGCCTCACCGCCCGCAGCCACCACGGCCGGAGCGCGGCCCGCGCAGCGAATAGCGCCCAGCTCGGCGCCGCCATGACTGCCCGCGTGCAGGGCGGAGCGTGAACTCTGACCCTGCGCTACGCCCAGGCGGGCGCAGGCGCATCATGCTGGGCTGAGGCGGAGCGGGGAAGACGCCGTGGTTGCCGAAGGAGGGCGGGTTGCCCTCCGCGGCTAGGGGCAGGAGGCGGCCGGTCCCTGCGGCCCTCCTGCTACCGCTGCGGGAGGAGACCCGGCTGGCCACGGGACAGCGCAGGGAAAGCCGCTGCGTGCCCAGCCAGGCGGCCAGCCCCTGGCAAGGGGAGGGGAACGAAGCCCGCAGCTGTGTCTTGGCTGGAGGAGCCGGTCCGGCGGGACGGGGCTGGGGACGGCGACGTTAGCGCAGATCGCAGCGAAAGTAAAACTTCAGTGACAACAGCCACCCTAAGGGTGTTTGCACGCGAGGGTGCAGCTGCAAGTCTGAGCGTAACAGCGTGCAGACCCAGCTCTGGACTAGGTGTCTGTTCATCAGTTAAATAACCGAAACAGAACCCATCCAAGAAGGATCACGTTCCGGAAGGACCTGCTCGACTTGTTACTAACAGTTGAGAGAGAGAGCTCCACTCCTGCTGTGTCATCAGTTCTCCATTCTGAGCTGTCAGAGGCTGAGGGTGCACGTCGACCCCTTTTCTGAACTTCCAAATGGAATCATGTCAGTTTATGTAAGTCACTAGAAGTCAACCTAGGCTTAGGCCCTAGGAACATCAAACTCCTCAGTGTAGATCCCCCATGTGAGTAGTATGTATCAGCACTGCTTTGAAACCAAACTTAAAAGCACTGTTTGAAGTAGAAATAAAAAAGTCAATTATCCTCCGTATTCACAGGACAATACATTCCTCACATACATGTTTTTATTAAGCTTCTCACATGTAATTAAGCATATTTACTACATGTGACACACAGGGTTGTCAGGAGCCAACTTTTTTTCCTCCAAACATTTGTGGCAAGTTAAAGTTTCATGAATTTCACACAACTGTTTTCAAAATTTGTTTCCAGTTCTAACCGTACCAACTCCATGTGCCAGAAACACACAACATACAAGAGACTTGAAGAGTACATCAGCTAAAACAACATGTAGGAGAACAGATCTTGTAGAAGAGCTACACTGTGCTATAACAGATTGCTGGACTCTTAAACAGGAACAGAGCTTTTAACATGTAAAAAGAGTATAAGACAGTCTAGCAGATGCTTCCAATGGTCAGCCTATGAAGGAAGCAGCATCAGCATTTGAGAGCAGTTCTGTTGCTGCCTAGAAAAGAACCAATGTCATTCTCAGGCTTACTGTTACAGTCCATGCTTTGTTAGTCTGATGCCACCATGTGTGGATTAAGATGAATTTATTCACAAGTGATCAGAAGTTCAGCAGTGTATCCTGCCACATTAGCATCATGGACAAAAAACAAGACTGAAAATGTTACTGTAACTGAACCAAACCAGCACTGCTAGGCATATTGCTTCCGTCTGTGATGGTTAGGAGCTTCCTTCCCAGGTGGATAATCCACAGACAAATGGGTAAGTTCCAGATGTTATGTATTACCCTGTTTGCAACTGTTTTATGAGGAACATGTTTGTAAGACGGCTCTGTCCTACCCAGGTGTAATCCTGCTACAAGTAACTTATTTAAAGCCTGAAGAAGTCCTGTCTTTAGCTGGGCACAATCCCCCTGGCCTGATGTCCTCTGCAGGCAACGCTTAACTGAAGTAATCATAAGCTTCAGTCTGGCAGCAGCAGCAGATTCATAATAATTAAATTTAGCAGTAGTTACAGAGTCAAAAGGAATTATGTATCCACAGTATATGTACAATACAATTAACTTCTCCAAAAAGGGTTTTTTCATTGCTATATTTTAAAGGTTGCCTTCAAATTACAAGTAAGTCCTTTAAACCCTTGAAAGGCATAAAAATTCCCCTTCCCACACAAAACCCCAAACAGTGTATTTTAGTTTCAAAAATATTTTTGAACCCACAAAAAAGCTTGGTATCAGTTAACCTGGTAAAACAGCTACATGCTAAATAAAAGCACATCTGGTGGGAAAAGCGCAAATAATGTTACAAGTGTGCTTAGTTTTCGCTTGCAGCATCTGGCAGTGGGTAGCAGGACAGCAGCAGGAATCTCAGTGGGTCTCCTCCTGTGTTTGTTCTGTGATCGTTTCTGTGGCACTGGCATTGGCAGCAGAGTTGAGAACTTCTCCAAAGTCTCCTCCAGCAGGTTGTCTTCCTCCAACTTTAGACTAGAACACAGAGAGCGCCTCAACATAAAACTGCAGTTATTTGACATGCCAAACATGCTGAACAGTGTAAACCAGTACCTCTGCAGGAGAAAGTTTAATAACTTTTCAGCAGAGCAGCTTTTCCAGGATGGAGCTACCTCTGCAATACTCTAAAGGCAAGTTTTTAAGTATCATCTGGAAAGCAACCACCAGCAGCAGACTAACATAGCAGTCTCCCTCTGCTTTCTTAATGCACGCAGCATGAAGCAGCAGCCCTCATTCCAAGGAGTCTGAAGGTTGGCATGCCCTCAGTTAAAAATGGATGTGGGTTTGCAGCCTTTCAAGCCATTTAGGCTTTGAAAGGTTCAGAGTTAAAACTCACTTCTGTATTGCTTAAAAAAGAACACTGAACCTCAAAAAAGAACACTGAAGAATTTTCATTCTCAACAGCAATTCCCAAGATCTTCAGTGAAGCACAGCAACTACTTTACTTTCTCTAGGTAATGTGTTTTCCTTTTCCCTCTACATTATATCCCTGTGGGAATGGCAGGAGTGTTAATGTCCATTAGTTTGCAAGGGAACGTCTAGTTCCCCATGTTATCACTTGCATGCTTCTCATACAGCCCAGTGTGCCCATGAGAACAGACAAATCTGGTTCCAGTTACATGTATTAGTGAGTTTTTTTAATCTCAAGAAGTTAATAATGGTTGTTTCTGGCACTTGAAGCTTTTGTGAGTAAATTCTAAATTAAGGTACAAAGGCCTTGTGTATTTTATGCCAGAAATAAGAGAAACATTCCAAGCTGTTCTCTTGTGTAGGGTATTAGCCCTTAAGAAGGCATGGAAATAAAAGGCTACACCATTTTGGATACATAACACTAGGTATGTTGTCCTAGCTGTTTGTGCAGGTTAGGTAGCTGTTAGTCCCCCTAGTTAAAGGCACCCTCCTGGAAGAGGTGCAGGAAACCCATTTTTTATCCTCAGATCATTAGGCAGAGAAACCACTTCCACAACACTTAAAAGGATGTCATCTAAGCACCTTCAACACTTTACCAGTAACTAAAACACAGGTTGCCTTGAGTCCACTTCTGTCTTTTCTCCACATCCACAGCTCCACAATTACCAAGGAGTTTTAATTATATTTACCTTCAAGTTTTCAACCTTTTCTTCAAAGGATTTGAAAGTAGGAGAATTTCTAGGAAAATAATAATAAAAGAAAAAGGAACCACAGAATTACAACCATATCTGTGTTTGTCTGTAAATATCACAAAACAAGCAGACAGTTGCTTTTTCTAATGTCAACATAAATTTTGCTTGGGGCTCTTTCCTTGGTTTAAGGGTAGCCTAAAAATAGTTTCTATCTGGATTTCCCAAATATTACATAACTGAAATTCAAATGCACTCAAGATACAGCTCATTTGTATCGCTTGCAACTGAGCACTGCCACGCTCTGCGATAGGATATTTCATCATACCACAGAAGGGAGAACTAGAAAGTATTTTAGGTTTAGCTTATTATTCCCAGTGATTTCAAACATGTTTCTGGCTTAAATGGTTTCAGAACAGCTTAGTCATCACTTCTGGTTAGACTAGTGTGTTACTGCTAAAGAAAGCTTGCCAGAGTTTTTCCACTTGTTATAGGAAAACTAGTTTAATAGGGCATGTGTTCAATTAACGAAATATGGTTAATAGGGACATTTTCTGCTAACATGTTAAATTTAGGGGACAATCCCCGTTGCCTTTGAAGTGCTGGAGACAGTTGTGATACAGAATTTACCATTTGCAATATGAAAAGCAGCATTCAGCATTGAATATCCTTAGATGTTCAATGCTGAGGGCCAGTGTATTATTTATTAGGGTCAGAAGAGTGGCTTAATGCTCCAACTAGCTAGCACTGCCATTTTGAAATTTGTTCAACAGCCTGTACATCTTTCCTGTATTTATGCAGAATGGAAAATGCTTGCCTTCAGCAGACCAGGCCCAAGGATTCACAGGAGACTAAAAATAATTATTAAAGATGAAAAACAGGAGGGGTTGGGGGGGGTGTTATTCGGTGGTTGGTTGTTTTGTTGTTTTTTTTTCAAAAGCAGTCTTAAACTTCCCTTCCCCCTTAGCCTGGTATTTGTGTCAGTCACCCACACTTAGCAGCACTCTTTCATTTGAGAAAGCACGCAGTGGCACCAATATATATATCAAAACAAACCCTCCTAAGAGATGGAGGGACAAGCAAGCAAGGGGAGAGAAAAGGCCAGCACTCCAAGTCAGCAAGAGCCCTGTTGTGAAACCACAGTACTTTTTACTCACTTTCATTGTTCTAACCCATGTGAGAAGCTAGTGCCTTTTAAACGTGGAGTCATTTAGTAGCAGTACATTTCTATTGGGTAGGGAAAAGTTGTCATAGTTCCCTAAACAGCAGGAAAGTATACTTGGTCACATCCCAGATGTGTGATAACTGCCACCAATAAGCAGAAATAAAAACAAATTTTGTTACATTCCAATTTACTACAAAGTTGGGTGGCTTTTTTGATTTTGTTTTAAATCCATGTGAGTTGACTTAAGTGCAGTTTTACTTGATTCCATAAATGAACATAAACAAACCCAACAGTTCCATTATGCATACATTACCTCATAATAGGCATGCTAATTGAATGTTGTATGGAGCGTATACTAAATGCCAGCATTAAGAAAAAAGAAAGCAAGAAGTTAGTTTAAGTGATAGACTGAGAAGCAATTGCCTTAGAGAGCTGACTTCTAAATACTGTCTTTGGTAAATAGCCAGTCTTATGTACCAACTGCTTGGTTTTGCTTTCACAAATTGCTTAGCCATGCACACACACAAGTACATCAGAGCAAAAGCTGCAACAACTTTTTTCCTTTTTAGCAAGATTCAAGTGCCATGCTTGGTAGTACATATTCTGCATAGCTGCAACGGTGTGTCTACTCAAGTTTCTCAAGCAGTAAGAGTCATGCTGCATTTACGGTTGTGACAATATCAGGTACAAAGTGAACACACAAGAGTCTTATCAATCAACTAATCTTCCTATGGAAAGAATTATTCCTACATTCAGAAGTCTTCAGTTTCAGTTCAGTGCAAGATTTCAATACTCACCAATACAAATTTTCTGGCGAGAACAGTCACATCAATCTATATAGTCAAGGTCAGGTTTATGCCGAGCGCAGGAAAAAGTCCTAGTCTCAACCCTGTTCTGATATTCTTGGAGGATTTCTATAACCTGCTGGTGTTGCCATTACAGTTATCTTTGCTTACTGACAACACGTACCTACACCTAGAAGGTGACTGGATGTAGATTAAGAAGCTCCGAAATACCTTCAAGACCACCTAATTTAGATTCTACAAAATCTCAGTTTAGTCTTGATACATATTAGTCTGATATTAACTTCAATGTTTCTTGTCAAATACCACAATATTAAGTTAGAAAAGTTAGGAAGAGTTATGATCATAGTTTTTCATAACTATATTTGAAATGTTAAATTTTGACTGGGTTTTAAAATCACAGAATCATAGAATCACAGAATCATAGAATCACAGAATCATAGAATCACAGAATAGTTAGGGTTGGAAAGGACCTTAAGATCATCTAGTTCCAACCCCCCTGACATGGGCAGGGACACCTCACACTAAACCATATCACCCAAGGCCTTGTCCAACCTGGTCTTAAACACTGCCAGGGATGGAAGCATTCACAACTTCCCTAGGCAACCTATTCCAGTGCCTCACCACCCTAACAGGAAAGAATTTCCTCCTTATATCCAATCTAAACTTCCCCTGTTTAAGTTTTAACCCGTTACCCCTTGTCCTATCACTACAGTCCCTAATGAAGAGTCCCTCCCAAGCATCCCTATAGCCCCCCTTCAGATACTGGAAGGCTGCTATGAGGTCTCCACACAGCCTTCTCTTCTCCAGACTGAACAGCCCCAACTTTCTCAGCCTGTCTTCATACGGGAGGTGCTCCAGTCCCCTGAACACCCTCGTGGCCCTCCTCTGGACTTGTTCCAACAGTTCCATGTCCTTTTTATGTTAAGGACACCAGAACTGCACACAATACTCCAGGTGAGGTCTCACAAGAGCAGAGTAAAGGGACAGGATCACCTCCTTCGACCTGCTGGTCACGCTCCTTTTGATGCAGCCCAGGATACAGTTGGCTTTCTGGGCTGCAAGCGCACCCTGCCTGCTCATGTTCATTTTCTCATGAACCAACACCTCCAAATCCTTCTCCGCAGGGCTGCTCTGAATCTCTTCTTTGCCCAACCTGTAGCTGTGCCTGGGACTGCTTTATGATTGTCTTATGATGCCTTTCAAGAGAATACTGTCCAGACAATTGCTGAGGGGGAAAGGGTGGGAGGAACTCTCATATTTGATGCATTTCCGAAACTCCAATTAGTATTTCAGCACAATGGAAGATACATTCACAGATGCAAAAAGGTTCCGTGTTCATTGCAGAACAAGTTTTAAGAGATTCATTGGGAGGCTCATCAGTAGAATACAGTGACAGAAAAATACACCACACGTAAAAAGTTCCCTTAAGGCTAGGATCCCTTAAGGCAGATGCACAACTGAAGGTTGGTTTGTATGTTAAGCATACTGAGAATCAGGTATGCAAAGGCCAGGTGCTGTCCTGACACGTCAGTAATCCATGCCACACACATCTCATCCCTTTCCTCAGCTGATGTGTTTCATCTTCATGGATGGTTTGGCTTCCACAAGCTTTTCCAGAGCATATAGAAGCCGATTGTCTTCTGGAGTGTAATTCATATTCCTCACTGTGATGTAGATTGCTACAAGTTTTGGTCTTGCCAAGTTTTAATATAGAACTAGGATGATACTAAAATAGTTCTCTTTGCCCAGTCATGCTCTGCAACTTCCCCCCACCCTGCAAGTAGTTTAAGGCTAAAGGGGGTGAAAACTACCTCCTTTTCCCATATATATTCACAATCTATAATCTGTTACACTGAAAAGCAGCAACATGTGTACTGCATATCTTTTTAACAGGCATCTAGGGAAGTTTAGTTTAATCTCAGAGAGACAGTTTAATGTAAGAACTATTCATAGATTCATGAAGGATTTACTTGCTGTTGTACAATACACTTATATATACTCAGCATCTATTTTGTAAAACGTCACCACAAGATAGTATATAGTTTTATCACAGAATGATCCGGTTTGTAAGAGAACTAAATTAGATAAATGCAGTTGATGTTTTTTTAACATCTAATCACTTGTTCTTCAAGTAGTGCAAATGAAAATGCCACATCAGAGCACTCACTCAACTAGGCCATCAAGTTGGGTGGTGTGAAAAGAGAACCCTTTTTACAATACTCATAAGCAAACCTCTAGCTTAAAAAAAAGGCACTGTAAATTGTTCTCCAGCCGTACGTGTATTTTTTATTGCATTAAAAGCTTTCTTATCCTTTACATGATTATTTTTTATAGCCACTACATTGCCTCACATTTTGGAAAGGCATAGGGAGATATGCCGGAGTCCCTGCCTGGAAAACATGGGCTTAAGAGTGCACAAGCACTAGTTATTTGCTTTTGTTAATAGCTGATATGCTGATACATGATGATGTTTAGGAATCCATGATCATATCAGATTTCCAAAGCAAGCAAAGAAAATTATTCTGCAGTCTCAGAACAGGGCACAGGTGGACTTCTGCCCCATAACAGGGATGCAGCACAAGAGGAGCCAAGTGCAAAATTATGATTGCTAAGGAAGCTTGCAGAGTGCTACATCTGGGTATTACTGCCATTTTGCACATAATACTGTGCAAAACAAGGTTGCCTACAAAAGGATGGCTAGCTCATCAGAAGTTCAAGATGCTCTTATAAAAGGAGAATAAAGTATTAGGAGAAACCTAAGAAGGAACAGAGTTCATTTTCAACAAAACAAAAAGTGGAGAAAACAAACACAAAAGAGAAGCAATAATGCACTGACTTCACATTACCAGTCCTCTCTCCCTCTGTTTCAGTACTTTCCAAGTTCACATTTCTGCTAGCTGCCTTACTCCCTTTTCCAAGTCCCTCCAAAATCACTTTGCAGTGCAAGAATGAAAACCTGCATGTGATGTTTGCTACATGAAACATGTGTAAATAGTCCAACACAGAAGAAATCATGCCATGACAGCTGAGAAGTCCCTAAGGTAAAACAATACAAGAAAAGCAAAGCCATGATGAAGCAGCTACATGAGATTAAGAATAAAACACACCTGCGTATCCAGTATTCATTCAATTAAACATCAGGCCCATGAGTTCTCATTTCCACATAATAACCTGGACCTCTAAGACTTCAGAAAGTTCAGACTTGTACAGTCTTAAAAACGTAGACAGCACTTGAGTAGTCACATAACCCTGGGACTTGAATTCACTGGTTGCATCCCAGACAAACCTGGTCCCCATGAAAGCAAGAAACAGAGGTTTTAAATCCCCTGTTTAAGTGCAGCTAAGATGTTGAACAGCACTAGTTCTTCCCACTTTTTGATGTTGTCTTGTTTTTAAACCCAGCTGCTCCAGAAATTATAAAAATACCTTGACTTTCCCTTCCCATGATTCTCCCCAAGAAGCACACCAACAGTGTGGACTCCTCTGGCCCTATTACATCATCTTCCAGTGGCCTAGTTTCTTATAGAAAGTACTCATCACTCACCTAGCCACTAACCTGTGTAATTAGACACTCTTCTTTTGAGGTATTAAGTTCCTGAACCCAGAAGAGAGCTATGAGTCTGCCCTTGTCAAATGCAATAGCCTAATACTAGTAGGGGAGCACTGTAGCCTTAAGGAAGAAACCAGCAGAACCCTGCTGAGTAAGCAGCTGAGCTCTGCATCCAAAAGGTATAGAGACACCTTCCAGGCTCCTGATGCTAAAGGAGAGATATTTCAGACAGGCTGCTATTCTTATACTTGAGCAAACTATGCTTGCTTCAGAGTCTGAGTTCTGTTAACATCTACCCTGTCACTGACCATCTCCTCCCCAGGCATTGCCCCTGCAGCTATAGCTCCTAGCTAGTATTCCACAAGCCGCCAGATCCCTGCATCTTTACAGAGATAATACTGCTGTCTTTAGCTGCTTAGTGGGAGAGTACAGAAAAGGCAAAGCCACACCCAGAGGTGCACAGATGGATGAGAGCAATAGACAAAAGTTGCTACACAGGAATTTTAACTACTTAAAACATTGAATATTTGCTTAGACTAGGCAGATAAAAGGCAATACAGACACCGTAACTAAAACACTCAGTCTGGAGCTGCTAAAGTACTTACTCAAAGATAAGGACTGTCCACTAGACAAACTATAAACAGAGAATGCATGAACTATTTTACACTCAGACTCTAGATATTTGAGTCATAATGCTAAACACCCGTTGTAATAGACAAAACAGGGAATATTTCTATTCTGTCAAGGCACAAACACTGTACAGACAAGGACAAGGAGGAATTTTGCAAGCTATTGACCTCAGAACCATATTCTGTCTCTTTACCAAAAAAAAAAAAAACAACAAACAACCAAAAAACAAAACAAAACAAACAACCTTGCAGAATCATTTTAACCGATTCCTTTCTTACAAGGAAGAGAGACTGATTAGTATGTGTGCTCAAGATTTCATGTTCTTGGATAGTTACCAGGTGAACATGAAGAAACATCTTCCTTGGCATTAAAAGATCTTCAGTTTTACATTAACACTGGAGGAAAAAAATATCTCTTACAGGCAAAAACTTAAAAATTGTAATGGAAACAGTCCGACTACATGCTTAGGTTCAGAAACAACTCTTGTGCCCACCTTACCTAAACGAATGTGAAAATGCCTGTAGTCTGCACAATGCCAGAGTAAGCATTAAAGAGAGAAAGGAAGTTCTGATAAATCTGAAGAAAAATATGTAACTGTGTAACTACACCTCAAAGTGTTTTCTCACTAGACTTCAAAAGCAAGAAAGAGGTGAATGGCAGCACTTGAAAACAGAGAGCTGATTTTATTACACTGCTTTCCAATGCAGTAATATTTTGTGAGAATGTGTGGATTTTTATTTGTCCAATAATTAAAATAAAAAAAGTTTGATCCACTATTCACAACAAATGACAAGCAGAGATGAATATCTGTGTATGTTCCAGTAGTAAAAATCATATAATCAAAGAACTGTAAGCTAAACATATGATTGGATTGCTTCCGGGAGGAGTTTTGCATGCAGCTCACAAGGGTGCTAAAAATGACCACCAAACTTACCTAACTTGCATGAAGGACTGTGTCATCTGACATAGTCAAAATATGTTGCATGCCAATATTTAAGAATTAGAAACTGCCAACAGTCTATTAAAAAGGTAATAAAATCAAGCCACTGCTATGAGGTAGAACAGCTTACAAGAAATAACACACACCTGAAAGGAATCCACACACAAGACAAGAAAGAAACCAAACTCACAAAACAACCACCAAACCACAAACACTTACAAGACATTAGCTGTTTGAATGTTTCTCACAAGCTGAGAAAGTCTAAGAACAGAAATGACAGTGCTCTATGTATCACACAGAGGCAGGCAGAGCTGCTGCCACCTGCAATACTATCAGAAACACAAAAGTAGCAGTGGATGTGATAGCATATGTTACTTTCCTTCCATACATAAATTATGCACCATAGAACTTTGCAGATTTTTTTCTGCATCAGAGAGGACATGCAAGATTTTGCAGCAAGTCACTCAGATCTCCTAGAACAGATGCTGAGGGTTCTTGACAGATTGACTTTTAGAAGTGCTAGGTATGTTAACAGCAGAAATTTATTTCAGTGATCACACGCTTACCAAAATGCAGCTACTTGGGAAAAGCTAAAGAAACCTACCTGACATCTTCAAACTTCTTGGTTAGGACTGAACCAACAGATGAAAAAGCAGCAGATGCCTTCTGACTAGCCTGAGAGAGGGTTTCTGATGTTTTCTTGTATCTGTAACAAAATTAAGTCTGTGGTTATTTTAACAGACCACATAAGGAACCTTTTAGCGTACATAGATTTGTGTCAGAGGTATACTTCACCTTTAGGATCAAATGGATAAGCTACTTAAGAGGTTATTTTTAGCCACTGCAGTCCCTCCTGGCTACAGCATCTCTGTCACCTCAGACTTCAGATCAGGTTCACCAATACAAACCTAACCTACTACCCCACCCACAGACCAGATGCCATCTGCTATTGCAGGACTTAGAACAAAAAAAAAAAAAAACAAAACACACACACACAAGAAAATCATACACACACACAAAAAAATCATACACACACAAAACACACACACAAAAATCATACACACACAAAACACCAAGAAAACAACACCCTGAAAAGCACACACACTGAAAAAGGACAGAGTATTAGTTTTTTGTGCGTGCCAAGTGCCTAAAATCTTGTACCAAATAGTTTTGTTAATAAATTTCAGCATAAAAAGTCTGAGGTATATCCTCCTATGTTCTGTGTAGTCATTAATTGCAGAAGACAGTTCACTCTAGACCTTAAGCTAACAGTTGTGTTTGGCAAGAATGTTATCTGACTTTGCACTCTTCCTGCATGAGCTCAGTTTACCACAATTTTTCAGGCTGGAAAAGAAGGGTATTCTGTTGGACTTGGGACACCATGGTATCTCAGCAATGGTATCTCAGGTACATCAGACAAAAAGTGTAATAGAATTGCCCATATTATGGTCAACTGTGCTTATTTTGCGTGAGATAATATGGCTAATAGTGACCATAACTGTTACCTTCACTCATCTTTTTCACAAGAGCAGAGGGTTTAGACATGACACAAGAACAACATAGTTGCCACCTCAACAGGTGAAGCAATCATTGTGAACCAGTACATACGCTGTGGTCGAGGTGACATCTTGCCAGCTTTTGGTAATGTTCTGCTTTAGTTCCTGTAATGAGTTAATTCCCAGCTTTCTCTTGATTTCCGCTAGATGCTTCTCTTTGGCAGCTAGCACTTGTGAGAGTGTCTGGATTTCCTCTTCCACCTGTTGCAGTAGAGATGGTGAGAGGTAAATTACAAAGCAATATACCCAGCCATTTATTTAACTATGTATTTATTAAAACATCTAACTAGGTATCAGTAATGGAAGGGCTAATGTTTTTAACACTGCCTCAAAGTTGTTTCTAAATACTAGAAGGGAAATCCAGCATAGTCTACAAGAAAAGCTGATGAGAAAGTAATCTACCTGCAGCTAGCTCTGTTACTGGGATATGCGCAAGGAAGCTGGTAACTATAAGACTGTATAGTTAGAAATCATTACCTTTAGACAACGTTAGTCTATATGAAGCTTGAAGATTAGACAAACCTGGGACAATTGCCAAGCCTGTATTCTCCTTCCACGTCAGAAGAGATACCAAGGTATGACCAGTATCAGGAAACTCAGAGCGTATCTGATCCATATACAAGTCTGCATCCTTGCTTGAACAGAAACGTTCTTTTGTGGCTTAAGCCAGCAACTGCAGGCTGGATCTAGCCAGAGGAGTGCCTTCCCCAGAACAGGGGTAGAAATGGTGGAAGACTGAGCAGTTAAAAAAGTAAATAAAAAAGAAAACCAAAAAAGCAAACCAACAACCCTCCCCCAGCAACAACAAAAACACAGCACCTCTTCAGCCACTAGAAAACTCTATTGGTTGTGTACTTCCTTCTTTACACAGGTCACTTACGCCTTTCACAGAAGCACCACTAGATCATGATCAGAGATATCAACAGCTTTACAATGTCATTCTGTGGGCTGTATAGATGTGACATAGGCACAAAGGCCACATGTACAAAGGTGAAGGCATACATCCAAACCTTCAACGCACTTGTGTTTGGATACTGTCAGAAGACCAGCATGACGTACCCTACCTAGCAGGACCAGATTTCCTTCACCGTCTTCAGCTGATTGGTTTGGCATTAAATAATACTCATCAGGACTACCAAAACCAAGACTGCATTAAATGTGCTTATCTCACAGCTGACCTTGGTTTGCCAACCTTAGGCTTAAGTTCGGGTCTTTTGTTAGGGTTCTAAAGAGCTACAAAAGAAAAAAGACTGGTGACTCAAAGCTTGACTTTAACAACTTTTTTAATTGATGAATCAGGCTTGAATATCTGAGTCCGTTTTGAAGAGTGCTTCCTTAACTCGCTCTTAAAAAAATCCTGCTGCATGAATTATAAACAATAGCTACATGGTTAGATATTAGCAAAACAGTGTTTACCTGAATATTACTACAAAGCATCCTTCATGAAAAAATTAGCTTCAGTTACTCCACATCAGTTAAGACAATACTTGGTTTTGGCTTCCAACCGTGTTGTCTTTGACACCCTATTTACCCCTCTCCCACTTGAGTTAAAAAAGGGATAACCATTCATGTATCTAGGTTTAAGACCTGTATGCTCAGCACTTCCAGCTTAATTCCCTACAGCCAGAACTGCCTGTTCTCCTTGACACCTTCCCTTACCCTCCCCACAATACACGTAAGTGTTACACTCTGCTTCAGACTCTCACAGAATAAATATGCAAAGCATTAACTGTATGTTCAAAGATAGCACTATCCCAGATTTTCATTCTCAAAACCAGTTTAAGAGCTATTTGCAAGAGATTTACCTTAGCAAGCTCTTTTCTTAGCTCATCCTGTTCTTCTTCTGAAAATGTTTCTGCCATACCAACTGTAGCAGCAGCATCCTCCCCAACCTCAGGTATAGAGTCACTTCTCAGCAGCCCTTGGGATGAACAAACCAGTAGAAGTCAGATCATTACATGTCTGCCAGACAGCAGCTAATGTTAATAATATATAGCCTTTTTGTGCCAGTGCACCAAGAAAACCGATGAGAGGACACCAAAGTCATGCTCTCTGAGTAGCACAGCATACAGAAAACCAAAGTTATTTTACTGCCTGTTTAATTCTATCAAGTGGTATAAAATCTCAATATAACTGCAACTGCTGCTATAATAGGAGACTGGAAACATGTTGAGAACAACACATCCCACAGCTCTGATAGAGACCAAGGTGCAAAACCCTACACCCTAACCAGCAGTTCCTACACAGCCTAGGAGCCCACACGCTCCCTGCTCCATCTCACTTATGCAACACAGAAACTCTGGAAGCACTGGAGGTGCTCAGGACCAAAACAGAGGCTCTCCCCTCACCGCTCTCCACATCAGATTACAAAAAGATGTCCATTCTGCACACTCTAGGAATGGTTACAGTGATAAGCAAGCTCAACAACAGCAGAGAAAAGGGTTGCACTGCAAGTACAAACTTCGCACATACCCTGTTCAACCTCTCCATCCCGAGTAAGCAGGACCACTGTGTCTAGAAAGTCACTGATATGGTAGAACTAGAAGTAAGCTGCTGTTTTGTACCTGGACAGATGATAAGCCTGGAAAAGGAACTTGGGAACAAAAGGCAATCGCTTCACAGAAAGTGATGGAGTACTGAAAAGGGACTGATGAGGATGTGTATTCACTCACAGTGCTGCCTCTTCCCAATCTAAATCCAGAAACCAAAACTCTGCTAAACTCCTCTGTATGGATCCCAGACATCCCTATGGCCATCCTCAGTTTTCACCTTCATAGCTTCAGGGACAGGAAGGAGAACAATATTATTTGTATTGCCATGATGTGCTCATTATTTATTCTTAGTCCTTGCAGTAAAATCACTTTGAACACATTTTAATGCAACAAACAAATCTTTCAGCTAAAGATTTACTATTCCAAATCTTTGTAGCTGACGCTTAAACATACAGTAAGGAATCCTGTTCTAATTGGCAAAGAGACCAGTTTGCAAAGAGGCTGCATGCTGGAATGGTTTGTGGATTCCCAGAACTAATTCTCTATTCAAGAGAAAAAAACAGCTTTATATATCATTAAATAAAAAATAAATAAATAAATAAAAATTAACATGAGAGGGGAAAAAAACCCCACACAAACCATGAGGACTGTTTGTAAGGAGAGAGTGGGTGTGTGTATGTGTGTATATGTATTTACATAAATATATAAATCAGATAAATTGAGGACATATTAAGTAATGTTACCTTACGAGTCAGTATAGTAATTAACCACATACAAGCCATCCTGATTTCAGCAGCTTCTGATGGCAGCCCATACTACCACTTGGTCTGGGAATTCAAGAACTCATTCATGTGCAATGAGACCACCACTATGATTTCACTGTGAGGCTTGGTATCTAATAGCTACATCACAATCAACTGAAAAGTCAGGGAGAAGAAAGATTCTGCGTGTCTGTAATTAGTTGTATGTATCCTATGAAGAATGCTCCTAGCAGCTCTCAAGCCTAAGAAGAGGCTTTGTTCTTGATCAAATTACTGTACTCAGGTAAAGCTCAATCCCACAAATTCTTTTCAAAACAACATGCTTTGAGCCTGTATTTGGGTCCAGAGATATACAGTAGCAGGCTTCTCCCTCTAGAAGCACACTGCTGCATGGGCAGAACATTTGTAAATGGTAAGTTACCAAGGAGCACAGTGAGAAGGAAGCATAGAGAAAACAAATAAATGCAGAATGGGGTTTAGTTTTTGAAACCTACATGTTTTCCCAGAGATTTATGTCTGTCTTCTACACAAACACAACATCATTCCTACAGGCTTCCCAATACATTATTTTCTGGCAGTAATCTAGGGCAGAAAAAAAGTTTGAGTCTAATGCCCAAACCAAAGCATAGCACTGCAGCATCAAAAAAAAAAAAAAAAAAGGCTTATGGCTTATATCTCAGAACAAATCAGGTCATTTTTGTTTTGCCCATGACAAGGGGATTAGAACTAATTCATCTTAAGGTCCTTTCCAACCCTAACTGTTCTATGATTCTATATATTCCTTTTTCTTAACATCGAACTGTTAAGAATGCCATACCTTTCTGTCAAATTGTTATTTATCCTACTCATTACACAGACTTGTAAGACTGAAGGAAAACCAACAATTTAAGCTGCATTTTTCCCTCGCACTCTATGACCCCTGGTACATCAGCCTCTGGCTCCTGGCCTTCTTCTCCATTCGCAGGCTTTTCAGGGACTACAGAGCTCGTTGTTGTAAAAGCCATTTCAGAAAGTTTGTTAGTACCAAAGACCACACTGACTCCAAGAGCATTAGCACATCCAGAGGAAAGCCTGTTCAATCTGGTTACAAAGAGTCATCTGGATTACACACCAAAAATAGATCAAGGGAATCCAGCAGCAGGAAACCATGCTGGACTGTCTCCTTCTGCAATAGGTTCTGCCTGGGGAATGTACTTCTTTTTTGGAAAAGCAGCGTTTTAAAGGAATTTGTGCTGCTGGTTGCCTACACTGAACTCAAGATACAATGTTAAGAAACAAGGGCATGATCTCTCCTCCCCTTCCCATTTCTAGATCCTTTAGGAAGAAAAGAATTCACTGCTACTAACAGTCCTCCATACCTCACCCTGTACACCTAACCATGCCTTCCTCTCCTCACTGCCTGCCCCGCTCCCATTTATAACTTTTCCTTTAGTTCCATTTGAAGTATGCAAATATCTGATCACTGTTTATCCTGGCACCTCCCTCTAACCCTGTTACTTTTCACCTTTCTGATCACTTTGCTCTCATTCTTCAGTTCACGTCAATACACGCAGGGCACTTCATTTTTGCTACATGAAGGCCAAGCAGCAGTTATCTACACAGATAACCCACACACCTCAACAATGGTGTGGCTACAAACCAAATATACCCCGTCCTAGTGACTGGACAAAAGATAACAGTTATAAACTAAAAAAGAGTAGATATAAGTAATAAATTCCTTACTATAAGGGTGGTGAGACACTGGAAGAGACTGCCCTGAGAAGTTGTGGATGTCCAAAGTTGTGAAAGTGTGCAAGGCCAGGCTGGATGAGACTTTAAGCAAACTGTTCTAGTGGAAGGTGTCCCTGCCAATGGCAGGGGTGTTGGAACTAGATGATCTTGAGGGTCCTTTCCAACCCAAACCATTCTATCATTCTACCATAAACCAGGGCTGACAGTTGACTCCTGGACTTGAGCAAGCTTTATACGGAAAGGTGCACAGCCCAAGTCAGGTATTTTTGTGGGGTGTGGGGCAAAAAAAAAGGGAAATGGCAGTCAGTCAACACATGGAAACACTTTAGCTCAATGTTATTAAGAGAGCATTTCTCATGTGTGGTCTTCTCTGTTAACCAGCAGAACTGTTGTTACTGGCTTTTAACTTGTCACCTTTTGTTACATTAGTTCTCTTGCACCTTTACGAGTTGCAAAGGACTTAAAATTTGGTATTCTGCAAGTTTAGCTGAGCATTTCACATCTCAAAATCTTTAAACAGGGTAAAAATTCTACTGGGGAAAAAACTGGGAAGACTTACCTAATATTCAGAAAACATACCTAGTTTTAAGGTCAGTTTTTAGGTGTCTGTAAGATTAACACATTATCCCAGCAGTTTATTAGATCTACTTAAATGAATCAGACATGAACAAGCTGGTTGATTAGGACTCCAGAGATTGCATTACGGAAAATGGCAGTTAAGTCCCTATTATTCTGCTGGCGTAGGCAAAGCATTAGAGTCATTCAGTTCACACTCAGGTTTTCTGGTTTGGGGTTTGCTGTGGTTGGTTTCAACCCAAGTTCGTGCTCTGTTATGACCAGAACTTCCTACCTCTTCCTGGCCTGAATTCAGAGATTAGCAGTAAACATCAGCAGTTTAAGGAAGTACTGGTCATTTCACATGAGCAGCTCTTGGTGTGGGGGAGGGCCAGCCTTCACACAGCTCTATCTTTAGACAGACATATTCTGTGTCAAACACTCAGAATGAGCATTTTAGCTATCACTACACATTTGGCAAAGCTAAAGAAAAATGGCACTTCTTAGAGTTCAGGAGAACAAGCTGTTACAAGATTATAAGATCCCTCCAACACTTGAGTAATGTACAGTACTACAGAGGATATTTATTCTGCTATATACAAGAAAGATCTAATTTAAGTGCTTCCCCTTTATCTCAGTGAAAAGGCCAAAAGAGACATATTTCTTGAGCGGAGAAAGTGCTCGGGCTTCTCCTAAACACCAATAATATAATCATTCAAACTCAATGAAAAATTTGATGACTGGAAAAGGGGAAATATAACCCCCATTTTCAAGAAGGGGAAAATGGATGACCCAGGGAACTACAGAGCAGTCAGTCTCACCTCTGTGCCTGATAGAATCTTGAAGCAGATTCTCCTGGAAGGCATGCTAAGGCACATGAAAAACAACAAGGTGCTTGGTGACAGCCAGCATGGCTTCACTAAGGGGAAATCCTGCCTCACCAATTTAGTGGCCTTCTATGATGAGGCTACAGAACTGATGGACAGGGGTAGAGCAGTTGATGTCATCTACCTGGACTTGTGCAAAGCGTTTGACACTGTCCCGCATGACATCCTTGTCTCTAAATTGGAGTGACATCAGTTTGATAGGTGGACCACTTGGTGGATAAAGAACTGGCTGGATGGCTGCACACAAAGAGTTGTGATCAAAGGCTCAATGTCCAATTGGAGAGCAGTGACAAGTGGTGCCCCCAGGGATCAGTGTTGGGACCGGTCTTGTTCAACATCTTCATCGCTGACATGGACAGTGGGATTGAGTGCGCCCTCAGCAAGTTTGCCGATGACACCAAGCTGTGTAGTTCGGTTGATATGCTGGAAGGAAAAGAATGCCATCCAGAGGGACCTTGACACGCTTGTGAGGTGGGCTGATGCCAACCTCATGAAGTTTAACCATGCCAAGTGCAAGCTCCTACACCTGGGTTGGAGCAATCCCAAGCACAGCTACAGGTTGGGCAAAGAAGAGATTCAGAGCAGCCCTGTGGAGAAGGACTTGGGGGTGTTGGTTGATGAGAAAATGAACATGAGCCAGCAGTGTGCACCTGCAGCCCAGAAAGACAACCTGGGCTGCACTAAAAAAGCATGACCAGCAGGTCGAAGGAGGTGATCCTGCCCCTCTGCTCTTGTGAGACCTCACCTGGAGTATTGTGTGCAGTTCTGGTGTCCTCAACATAAAAAAAACATGGAACTATTGGAACAAGTCCAGAGGAGGGCCACGAGGACGATCAGGGGACTGGAGCACCTCCCGTATGAAGATAGGCTGAGGAAGTTGGGGCTGTTCAGCCTGGAGAAGAGAAGGCTGCGTGGAGACCTCATAGCAGCCTTCCAGTATCTGAAGGGAGCCTATAGGGATGCTGGGGAGGGACTCTTCATTAGGGACTGTAGTGACAGGACAAGGGGTAATGGGTTAAAACTTAAACAGGGGAAGTTTAGAGTGGATATAAAGAAGTTCTTTCCCATTAGGGTGGTGAGGCACTGGAATAGGTTGCCCAGGGAGGTTGTGAATGTTCCATCTCTGGCAGTGTTCAAGATCAGGCTGGACAAGGCCTTGGGCGATATGGTTTAGTGTGAGGTGTCCCTGCCCATGTCAGGGGGCTTGGAACTAGATGATCTTAAGGTCCTTTCCAACCCTAACTATTCTATGATTCTATGAAAAAGAATGTCAAAAGACCCAGCAAAGGTTGGTGCTCGTGGTGATGCATCACCAGATACAAAGGATGGTTCCCCCACCTTTAGAAGAGGTGGGAGATGCCGTAACTGCAGAGGTGAAAGTAGCTGCTAGCTGAAGTTCACAGAGGGGTTTGGTTCACTTCACACAGAGGTCCCCCAACGTATGCACGTTTCTTAGGATGTTAAAGAACAAGCCCATCAAAAAGAAGTCAACACCTTTGTAACTTTGCTTTGCCACACCTGAAGTAGGGCAAAGCTGTCTACATTTTAAATTATTCTGGAAGATGACATCCGGGAACACAGAAATGGAAGAAAGGTTGTAAAACCAGACCATGATGTGTTGAGAAGCATAGCTGTAGATGTTCTGTATGAGAGGTTACTAGCCAGAAACTAGTGTGGTTAAGCAATATATGAATGCTGCTGCAGAACAGCCCCCAACAGCCACTTCCTCAAGAGAGTTCAAGCACAGAATCTGCATGTGTAAGATTTTCAGCATTTTAAGTGCTGGATGGAACAGAGTAAAGGTTTTAGAGAGCATTTTCATTAATCAGAGATATTTTCAGTACTAAGGCAAGGGCAGATATTAAAGAGTATCAGAGCTCTGAAGTCATACTAAGTATGCAATTCCTACCTTCCCCCCAAAAATAAACAAATAGACAAAATAGGCCAATTGCTTCAGTCTCACAGAAGTTGCCGTTTTGTTCCTAACCTTCTTTTGCTCACTTGTCACTCCCTCAAAATGCCTTTCCACTGAAATATCAAATAAGGTAAAGCTGGTAAATATATAGCACATGGGATATAACCTACCTGACATGCTGAAGCTAATAAGCTACCAGAGTTAACAGCAGGACAACCTTTCCCTTCATTTACACCTGCATTTCAGCCAAGTTTTACAGGTTCTTAATCTGGGAAGTTCCTTTTTACAGATACTGATCACTAAGCTTTCCATGTAGGATGTTAGAAAAGGAAGAGAAGGAAGTTACCAGACTTTGACAGCGTAGGTGATCCAGGTGGAGAAAGGTTTATGGTAGGCGACAGGTAAAGATAGTTTCTGTTCACTCCAACATTGAAATCAAAGGGTGATTTGTAATCCTCATACAGATCCATGCCAGAAAACTCAGAGCGTGCAGCCATCCTCTTCTTCCACCGAAGCATTCATCTTCGTGTTCTGGGGCAACCCAAGCAGCAGGATTCAGACACACTCCGGTTCTTCACATGATACTTGCTGCACCTTCTCAGAACATTCATCTCTCTTACCCCCCTGTTAGATTTGGGAGAGCTGTCTAGCAAGTGATTCCTTAGCCATCTTGTAGCTGCTGTTGTTTACATGGCTCAAGTTGAGTTCCTGTAAATTTATAACCAGGGCTGGACTTACATAGACTGTTCCTTTGACAAACATTCACAGCGCACTATCCGTGGCTTCTGGAAGAACCTGGTCCTCTGCAGAACTGCAGCAAGAACTTCCAATCATTCAACTAAAAAAGGTCAGCTGACTGCAGCTACACCAGGATATTCTTAATCTAGGACACAAAAGGATTACTAGCCATAATCTATCCTATACACCATCTGTGCAGGACTTTTTCCTCTGATTAATGGAAAATTCTGCATGTGTAACTATTTCTCCAGTAACCAGTTATGCCATGAACCGGCCATGCTGGAATGTGTTGTCCTTATGAAATGTATTTATGTTTCGACACATTTATGATAAAGAAAGATGAACTTACGTAAGCCATTTAACATTATGCTGCATATATGGATTTAGCCCTGGAAGCAGAAGGACTTCTTACCTAAAAGAAGCACTCAGCACAGCTTTCCAGTGTTTCACTACATTCTATTTTTTACTTCTAAGATCAGCTTCTGTCAGTGAAAAAACCAGCCAGTGCAGACCACCTTCACAGTGAACAATTTCCTACCAACCCACACTTTCAGATGGGCTCTTCACTGCTGCCTGCACACAGAGAAACATGACCAAATGAAAGTTAATCTTTTCCTCCATGGCAAGAGTGATGTTTTAAGACATTGCCAATGACAGACATTACACCAGCCTCCACTCAAAGCAGCAGAAGTGAAGGAGCCCTGCAGCATACCCATGTGGAGCCTGGCCAGTGTATTTTCTGGGGGCACGAGAAGAAAGCATATCACTTCTGAAGTTTTAAACTTCCCATTTCCACTGCAGTCACAAACAGACCTTCCAGATAATTAAAGATCCATTCCTTTAGGCTGCAGACCTACATTGGCTGCTGCTGCAGACTACCTGCAGGCTCATAATGATGACAGCATTGGAGCCTGAAACACAGGTCTCTGCTATTTTCCAAACCCCCTGAAAAGAAAATACAATGCCCCTCTGCACTTCTGACACATGGCTATGGCATCTGCCAGAAATACTTCGAAGTTCACCTGACAAAGGTCAAAGCTTTGGCTGCAGATTCTAGTTAAAGCATCCAGAGGCAGCAGAGAATTGTAACACAGCTACACTAATGATATACTCCCTATTAACCAAGCACACTAACATGAATAGCTACCAATTCTGCTTCGCATGCTCTCTTCACGTAACTCAGCAGATGGGGACTGCCTTCTGTACAAAAGGCTCAGGCAATCATTATACTAACTAGTTAGGTGAAATGATCGCTATCAGGTATGTTTTCTACTATCACTCGCTCAACAAAGAAAGAGTTGAAGTGAGGTTATCCACTAGGACTCTTTTCTCACCCCAAAGAGTCACTCAGTGTAACATCAGTCAACGCTAGCTGGTTATGACAACTGAAGTAGCCATTACACAAAAAGAACCCTTATGAAGATCTGCTCATCTGTGCTAGCAAGCAGGAACACTGTTTCCTGGCCAAGGGCATTTATGGGATTCAACATTTACATTCTTGTCATTTACACTAAATACGCTGTGTTCAGTTTTACCCCATACCAGCCATTCAAAAAAGTCTGGTTCTGTTCCTGCATCTTCATGTGCAAAAGTTGGTTTCATGTCTCCAGAGGCATCTACATTGCCAGTCTAAGACCACTGGCCTGGCCCATCACTGCTGCAGACAGAACCATGTATGAACAAACTCTTTAGCCTGGTTAGAGACAAGTGCAGGACCATCGCCTGCTGCCAGAACACCTTTGCCTTACAGGGAAGATTTGCAAAGTTACAGATCTGAGCCTCCATAAGAGGCCAAATTCTGCTTCTGCCCTGGCTTATTCCCAGCCTGAGCACAAGCCCAGAAGTCACCCAAGACAATTTTGTAGTTTTAAGAAACATTACTGTCCTAAGATCATTGCCAGAAGAGGGATCATACAAGCACTCCTTACTTCAGACTACCCTGTCTGCTCAGATTAATCTATTTTACAGTGGCAACACAGTTGGATTGCTACAGCGCCTCCCAAACAAATCAGCTTTAGCTTCCTGCTCTCTTCCCTGCAGCAGTTTATTTACAGGAGCACCCCTCCTTGCTCAGTGTCAAATCCTAACTGGTGATGAAGGAAGCTGTCTTCCTCAACAAGCTGCTTCCTCATCATCTAGGGAAGTTTTGTGGTCTTCACCCTGAAGTACAAGCCAATCCAGCTGTAAGGAGAAAGAAATGAAATCCGCCCTTCCAAACCTGCTGCAGCACAGCTTTTAGGCTGTTATCCCTAACTCCTCCACTTCTAGGAAGACAAGTACTCCCCTGCCAGTCAGTTTATTCACTTCTTTCCCAGTAGCTTCTTAGCATACCCAAGGATTCAGGGCAGAGCAGGGCAGCACTCCTATACTGCCTAAAGACAGTCTGAAGAGAGACTCTGCTAGCTGCTGGTGGTGCTTTCAGAGGAGGAATTAATTTCTCTCCAAAGGACTTCCCAAATTAAAGCAATGACCCCAAGGAAGCCCAAGGAAAGTACGACAAGGATGACAGCAGCCACATGGAACCAAAAATAACGGTTTTGCTCTGCAGTGTGAAGCTTTTTAGCGTTTGGTTTAGCACCTCTTGACAGTCTGAACATAGCAAGAGAATGGAAGGAATCAAGATTTCTCTATGCTATAAAAACAGGCTCATTATGACACCTTTCTAAAAGGCCTTCCCATGACCAAAATATCCCACTGCATGGCCTTCCTCCTTCTCCTCACAGTAATTCAGAGCACACACAGCTGGCATACCCTGCAAGATTGACTGCTCCCAGTGCAAGACATACTTTTGAGTGCTGAGGCTTTAGACTTCTGTGCCTTAGAGCACTTACTGTGCATCACGTACCTTTATTCTTTGCCCTGCATAGCAAATTCAATTGTTACAGGTGTACTTTGGTTGTTGCTGCAGGTCTCTCCTGCAAGCCAGTATTCAGAGATCCAGAAGCCTAAGGATGCACCTGCTCCAGAGACAGGTAGCAATGGGGTTTTGCTCACTATATAGAGATTAAAACTGAAGCTTTTGCTGTTCCAGAACAAGTATTTATTTGCCTTAACAATTCAGGATAACTAAGAGGTTGGTACTTAAGTCATCAATGCCATTTTAGAAGCTGGTGTTTGAGGCATGAGGTAGGTAGCTTCTGTCAAGGACGCCTGAACCAATTACTGCCAAGTTCAACTGAATGTCACCGACTGGCTCAGGAAAGCCTCAGCAAAGCGTTATCATCAGAACTCCTACCGTTAAGCATGTTGCAATCTCCTCTGTTAAGGTAAGAGAGTGTACTTAAAGCTTTCCCCGGTAACTGTTTATCATCAACAGTCAGCAATCCTGAATCACAAGGGTGGGAACTTCCTGCCCAGCCAGAAAAGCTGTTAAGTTTGAGCAAACACTATTAGCCAGGTATTTGCCTGCCTAGTCTCAGATAACATTCTTTCTTCAAATACCACCTGCTACCCAGGTCCACAGCTTCCACCTTAGCCCAAAGTTCTAGCAGCAATTTAAGTAAGGCAGGATAGTATTAAGGCACTTCTGCCTTCATGGTAGCTAAGCAAGGATAAGATGTTATGGTAGCCTTGCAGAGAAACTGCTTTTCCCACATTTAGATCTAGCAGAACAGTATTTTGTTTACACATGAAAAAGTTATATCCCTCCTTCCCTAAAGAAACCAAATCCAGCTCAAGTATGACTGAATACCATCTCAGGGCTTTGGGGAAGCTATGCTACGTATTTAGTAGTGATTCGTAGCAAGAGTTAAATACAAAATGGAAAGGCTACCACTAATGGCTCAGGATTGGAAGAATACAGAGGCTACCCTAGGCAAGATCCAAACAATACTCTGGTTAAAGCTACCTAAATAACCAATTCACAAGATCTATGCCTAATCAAGGCAGAGTTCTGCTGCTAGGTGGGCACCTCCACCATCTTGGACATCCTATGTTTGTGTCCAGTTTAAGCACAGATCTGCCAAACTCGTACGCCAGTCCCTAATTTTGGCAAGCCTAACATTACTTCAGCACTTAAATCAGCAGTCAAAAGAGGACAGGGAAGATGAGGGAAAGGATTTGTTGCCTAAGAGGAGGAAGAGGCACTTGCTGTTTGTGAGGCTTAGCAAAAGATCCAATCTCTTATTTCAAGCTTGATAGGTACGATTCAACTGCCTGCTCAGCTGATACCAGGTTTGAATTTGCATCTCTGGAAGCTTTCCAGCAACTGCAGCTGGGGTAAGTACTTCCAGCCAGGTCTTCCCCCACCCCATCTTTACCACATAGATGCCAATCAGGCAGCAACAGTCAGGCTCTTCTCCCAGCTCCAACTGAGTTTTATAGGACATAAACCATTTTAACAGCTATAAAACTACTTAAGCATCTTAAGCCAATCTAGGTTCTGTAGCACCAATTTGATCTTCAAAGTCTTACAGTTTACAGATGAGTAATGCTTTTCAGCACCTGATCCAAAGCTTTAAAACTGCATAAAGAGAGACAGAAGCCATGAAACTATAGGACAGAAGCCCTAACACTAAGCAAGCCTCATATTAGTACACTCAAGCTCCTATTTCCACAATGTGCTCTCTCACCTCCCTGTAACAGCAGATACCTCTTTCAGCCCCCAAGGTTTGTACACAACATGAACAGAGCTGCACAGCTACAGCAGCTGCTGAATAGTGTGAGCACAGGCTTCTGCAGCCCTGTTAGTAATGCTCAGTGGACTGTGGCTTAACGGCTTAGGCATTTACTGTCTCCTAGCAGAGTTCAACACAGCATCACCATATTAATCTCATTACTTCAACCTTCCCCATATACTTTTTCTGGACTAGCTCTCCCTGATGCAACAGCATTGTTCAACATAGTTCTTTGTATAGAAATACCTTCTTCAGCATTTTCTTAAGACTAAATACTGCCTTCCCTTACTCATATTAAAACAGACAAACAACCCCAACCAAACAAAACCCTCTTGGAATGATCAGTATCCTCCCAAGATGCATCACCCTGCAAAACAAACCCCTGTGAATGTTACCATTAAGGGTTACAGGGTTGCTGGTATCTTTTCTTACAAAGTCTCAGCCCACAGCACTCCTGACAGCTGATGCACGTCTT